ATTAATTAGCCGGTGAGTAAAAGTATTTGATTTACAATCATTTCACCCAACAAACTATTTTTTAATTATTTTTTAGTTTATCACACGAAGTTTCAAGTGTGCCCAAAAATCCCAGTAATAATTACCAAGCAAAACAAGATCTAATACTTCCATAATAAACAAAAAAACACAACATCTAATATTATTTTTATCCCCACATTTCTTTTATCAGGCCTTTTATTTTTTTATTTTTGGTAAAATATCAAGCCTTTTATTAGAGTTTCTGTATTGGCACGGACGGTACTAACACCAGAACGAAGCAAAATCTAGCTATATACAGTAGTTTCAGTGTCATCGATCTGCAATTATAATTAAGATTACAATATCAGTAAAAATTTACTAAATTGATATTTATTCATTTAAAATTTTTAATTTAGAGTTAATGTCAAAAATTCAAACCCTTATATTATGAAGCAACTAACTTCTTTAATATATCAAAAAATAAAAATAAAGTTACAATGATAATATTGAGTTAAATAAAATTACATATATAATATCAAGCATAATCTTTTAAATAAAAAAATCAATCATACAACAACACGTCATCATTAATTGTAAGGTGTAATGTCTACCATAAATATTTCTCATATATAGACAGTGTGACATATTTTCTCTAATGTCTAAAAATTGCTTTTAATTAGTTATAATAAACAGTTCAAAATAGCTAATAATAACTTGACCATATATAGAAAAAGAAGATATCCATCTCGCATCTCCACACATACAAAACCGTTTTTCTCCAAGATTAATCTTTGAATCCCCTATATAAAATACACACCAGTTCGAAATCACAATTACACCAACGCACACCCATTTGCTATCTTCCCAATTTGAAAGCCCTAGCAAATCATGGGTGTCCATGTTGGTGCTTGTGTCCTATTTCTCTTCCAATTGTCATCCCTTGTTCTTGGAGAAGTGCTTCCACTACCGCCATTTGACGTAACTCAGAAGGATCTCCAGCAGAAGTTGTCATTAGGGAACATTAATCTTGATGTGCCTGCGCTTTATGTGTTTGGTGACTCCTTTGTGGATGCTGGAAATAACAACTATTTGAAAACAAAAGCCAAAGCAGATCACCCTCCATACGGATCAGATTTCGGTGGAAAGGCTACCGGACGTAATACAAATGGAAGGCTAGCAGTCGACTTCATAGGTACTTATATAATGCATACCAAAAAATTCAAAAAGTTTTAAATTTTATTTTCTTGGATGATGAGACACAAATTCTATTTGATTGGTTGTTTCGCGAGAAATTACCTTCTCCGACCCTCCCTGTGGATATATATATATATATATGTGTGTGTGTTTGAATAGCAGATTCAAAAATATAATATGTCTCAATTCATTTTCTAAGAGTGTTAATTTCGATTTATTTTGACGAATGCAGCTAAAGTGGCTGGCTTGCCATATGCTCCACCAGCGTTGGGCATGTCCGAAGCAGACAAAAAGAACACTGTAACTGGGGTCAATTATGCATCGGCTTCCTCTGGCGTTCTTCCTGAGCCCCCTCAAATGGAAGCACTTATGGTAATTCAGACAATATTCTTCCTTACAGAAAAAATAGAAAGGAATTAAATGATTAAGCTAAGTAAGTACTTAATTAACCAACATTTCTACATCTTCTTTTATACAGGGAGATGTTTTGAGTTTTGACGAACAAATAGCATTGTTTGAGAAGACAACTGAAAACCTAAAGTCGCAATTCAGTACTCAAAACATGTCAAAATCACTCTTCTTTATCCATTCTGCTAGCAATGACTTTGGTTTAGTATGGATGTTGGCGAACAAAGACCATTTCACCCCTGAGGCCTACGCTTCATACGTTGCTGATGAGTTATCCAAAAGATTGCAGGTATAAATATATAATATTAGTATTTATCTGTTAAATTTGATAAAAAAAATTAGTGTAAAAAGCACTCAAAATTATATCATTTTAATAAAGTATAATGAAAAATGATTTAAAAAATAAGTTGTTTTAATTTTTTTTAATAAAATTTTATTAACACAACATAATATTGGAGTCTTTTTTTATCTAATTTTTGGTAGATTCGACTCATAAATATTTTTTCTTAAATATATAATATTTTGGTTTCGTATGTTCACAATTATCAAAATATTTATTTTAATTAATTTTTTTTCATGTTAATTTGCATATACATTTTGAATTTGACACTGGCAGAAATTGTATGCGCTTGGAGCACGCAAATTTCTGGTTAACAATGTTTCACCCTTGGGGTGCCAACCATATAACATAATGCAACAGAAGCCAACAACTGCTTGTGTTGAGGAAATGAACCAGCGAATCACTGCTTATAACAAACTCCTCCCTAAGGTACTCTCAAACTTGCAATCCAAACTGCATGGATCCACCTTCGTGCTTGGAGATCTTTATAAGATTTTTGAGGACGTTGTTGCATCTCCTGATTCGTATGGTAAGTAAAAATTAAATACCCCTAACACCAAAATCACAGATTACATGTCCATCTTAATTAATTTCTCAAATTACACGTTTTATACGTGCAGGATTTACCAATGTGAAGGATGCATGTTGCTTCACTGACTTGGGGAAGGGGACTGTAATATGCACTCCTCAATCAGTGCCATGCCAAGACAGAAATGCTCATGTGTATTACGATCCTTTCCATCCAACTGAACGCATGCATTTGATATGGGCAACCCGTTTGTTAAAAGACTCGTCCGTTGTTTCACCAATGACCTTGGTTCAATTACTGCAAGCTTAATTAGGTCCATATGTAGGGCCTTAATTATGATATATGTACTCATGAACCGACTGATTATCACATACTTTATCTTTAAATTTTTAAAAATGAATAAAGAAGAGTGTATGGAAGAAAGCCAGTCCAACCATATCAAGCCCTTTCTTTTTGGGGATAATTAAGCTCCACATAACCAAAGGCTTTGATTTTTTCAGCCTAAAAAATTTATATCCACGCAATAATTAAGCATTAATTTCATTTTTCTAAAAGAAAAATGAAAAATGAAATCTCTTGGTTTGGCAATTTATCAATGCCATTGTTGTGGTCACAATCACATGCCAAAATTTTCATCTTTTGATTGATAATCTGGAGGTTAATTCCTAAAACATTTTTAAAGTTGGGCTTGATTTGAAGAGGTCCACTGTACTTAATTAGTTGGGCTAGTTGGACCAATGATTGTTGGCCTTGAATAATTTTGCATTTTACTCTTTTTTTAAGTGAGCATTTGGGACTGCAGTCTCACAATATTTTTTTTATACCGTTAACAGTGTTAAGTTATTAAGATAAAATTAATTTTAATTTATGTTTTGTATAATTTAATAATTATATAATGTATAACACTCTTTTCAAAACAATTTTATCAAAAAATAATATAATTTTTGTAATAATAAAATACTCAAAAAGTTATAGTCACAATATTTGAGAGTATAATTTCAAATGAAGCTATAACCTTATTGTTACTTGGACCAAAAGGAAAATTTCTAAAGGGAATCTAGCTAAACAGCACCACGGACAAAATATTAGAAAATAGAAAATCCGTGAAGGGATGAATATATATATACAAACAAAACTAACAGAAAGTGTTTTCTTTTCTTGTGCCAAAAAATTCATGTTCGGGTTCACTAATAAACGAGTAGTACATGTCAATTGTTTGGTCTCTAACCCAAAGGACAATTAGGATACGATATACCCACGAGGGGCAACGTGGAGTTGGGCATTATTTCCATTGTTTGATTGCAAGCAAATGGAAAGGACGAACCCCACATGAGCTGAGTTTCATCGTCATTGAGACCAAGCAGGCACCATATTAATTAAATCACATGGTTTTGGTGGCTAGCTTCTTTATAACATGAGGTTGCCTAATGTGGGAGAATGAAGAGATTCAAAAAATTGCAAATAAGAGGGGAATGAAGGATAAACAAGAGCAAGGACAAGTAGTTAGGCATCAAAGCAAAAGGAAATGGGGACCTTTTAACACATGGGGGAGTGGGGTGCTGTGGAGCCAATTTACCAAAAGCTAAGAATCTTTTGCAAAATGTTTGTTGGAAGCACGCGACTGGGGCAAAGCGAATTTGGTATATTCATTCGTCTCTTGATAATCCTCAACGCTCAAAAGTAAATTTATATTTGCTGTATGTATAACAATAACATTTTTAGAGTATAAGTTACAATACATTTCATCTATTATGTATAAATCATTAGCTACGAGATCCTTCCTAATAGTTTGTTCAGTTTTACGGAAATGAAAAAAAAAAAAAAAAAGGAGAAAAAAATTATTATAATTAATAAAATTATTTTATTGATAATTTCAACCAAATTAATAATTTAATTTTACTAATTAAAAGAAAACTACCTTTCTTCAAATCTCGAAGTAATTTGACAACTTGGTTACTCAAAAGGTGGCATGAGAAACCACCTCTGTTTGGTCCTGTCTTTATCTAACATTAATGGATTTGTTCAAAAAAAAAAAAACATTAATGGATTTCACATGTAAACCCATCTCAAGGCAAAAAGAGTTTGCTGAATTAATTGCCTCTGGGGTTTTAGTCATCCAAGCTAGATTGGATTTAATGAGGGTCAGATAATGAAGGAACATTAATGAAATTAAATAGGGGATGGATCTAGATGGATGCAACAATTATTCAGTTGTACTAGGCCAAGCTAGCTTAGCACAGCAGAGGCTGGACCACCACACGTGAGCTTCCTAGTGTGGCCCCTTGTTACCCCTACTTTTCAGTAGGTTTGAACCTAGCTAGGGGAGAGGCTCAGAGGTCAGTCATTCTCAGACATTTTAGTAGTAAATAATTACGTTGAGTAAAGGTCAACGCTTGATGGACCATATCTACTTGTTGAACCTTAAAATATTATGAGGACTAGATGCTTGTAACCAACCTCTTAAATATTTCGGTCTGCAACAATAATCAGTTGGTTTGGATGGAAATAATTTAATTTTTAATAAAATATTAAATTTAAATTTTATAAATAAAGTAATAAATATTGA